CTCTCTCTCTCTCCTCTCTCTCTCTCTCTCTCTCTCTCTCTCTCTCTCTCTCTCTCTCTCGAGGGACGAATATTCTCTCTCAACATCGATAATCGATAATGCGCGAAAGACGATCCGAAGTGCACGTTTCCCGTGGTGAGAAAAGTTCAAATCAAAAGTCACAGCTAAGGCGGAAGGGTCGATTGATCGATGAATATGAGGTACGAATGATGGCTTAGATATTTCTGAATAGCTTAGATATTTCTGCAGGTACACGTGCATCTATCTGCGTTTTCTGAGATGGAAAGGCTCCCAGCTTCAACGTAGCAACATTTCACTTCTGCACGATGCGATGAAACAACGGAGACCAGATTGATCAATATCAGCAGTCAGATCAGAGAAAAAGATGTTGAGCGTGTTTCTCACAGTTTCACCTCCGACAATGCGGCCTGAAATTCACGCAGCTTACAACCGTTTAATGTTGATGAGCTGCGCAATTTTATCGTAACAGTAATGGACTTATAATAGAATAATAATTATGCCTAACGCGAAACAATTCTGCGGCAGTCCTCGTATCGATATCGTGATCTCTTAATGATTAAACTTCCGAGGAATTCATAATTGATTTTGCATAAAAACGCACATAAAATTACGAACGCGTAGACTACAACTTCGATAAAGTGATTCTGAAAATAATTGAAAGCTGTAATTTATATGACAGCTAGTTGATTTTTTTGATAATCATTTTTACTGCGAAGCACAATTGTGCGCGGGAAAAAATCCCGACGACGCGGCACCTGATGATATCCTGCCATTCGCTCGGCGTCATCGGCGTCGAATCTCTAGTGAATCCGCGTGCGATTTGTCGTGCCGCGGCGAGAGGATTCTCCGGGGCACAAAGTGGCAAGTGATGCATGACGGATGGCGGCGGTTATGATAACTCGAGCGTAGGGTACCCGCGAGAGGAAGACGAGAAGGAGGAGAGAAGAAGGGAGTACCATCAGGAAGAAAAGAAGGAGGACGAAGCAGGAGGAGAAGAAGGTGGTGATGGTGATGGAGCAGGAGGAGAAGGACAAGGAGGAGGTGATGGTGGAGGAGGAAGGGAGGAGGAA